AGATGTGGAATTGCCGCTTCAGAACTGCAAAGGCCCGCTCGACACGCGCGCGAGCGGAGCAGACAGCTCTGTTGTAACGCTCTTCTGCAGAGAGTTACTTGTGATAAAAATTCTTAATAATAACCGATAATGGGTACCTTTCACATTTTTTGTGGTGTTCAAGGGCTTCAGCAAGAATACCTCAGCTCCATAGGCTGAGTCCCCTATGAGAACACCACTGAGGTCCTTATTTTTCAGCTGTTCGTAAAGCTCCGACGTTTTGAAGGCACGCGAATCGTGGGCAGACTATGACTATGATAGCCCTTTCTGTTGACATAATCTCCTTCTGCAACGTGAGTCGCTGGATGCGGCAGTGTGTACCGTCAATAACCCCAGCTATTCCAAGAATACGGTATTTATCAAAAAAGCACGGCTGATCCTCGCGCTTCCTGCTCATCCGGCCAATATATGTCTGGCTTGCTTTTCGGTTGAGAGCTTGAACAACTGCCAGCAACACACGGGAAACCGTAGCCTGATGACAGCCCGCTAACCTCGCAGATCACACTGCATGACATTTCTAATGGCGATAGATACTTGTTGAGGCACGCTAAGATTAGTTCCATGTCTTTGAAGCTCGAGGTCCGACTTCAGCAATTCACAGATGTCAAAGAAGACGCGGCGAGAGAAGCGATAGCTTCTTCTGAACTCATCGTCGCTTAGACTGTCAAAAGGATAACTCCCTATCCCTAAGAGAACGTTGAACAGGCTCCCTTCCATACCTCCGTAAGCGATCGAGAGTTTCAGATAGTTCCATCTTACCTAAAAATTACGCTAGCGTGATTGGTTGTTTCATGGATGTTTCTGAATTGCCTTGCAAATATGTGACAACACTAAAAACATATCTAAATATTTGATGGGAGCATTCATACCCTAGAAGTATCGCCGACCATTTAACTCATCCGAAAAACTATGCAACACTACCTCTGAAGCCGATGTATTCTACACCATTCCAGGGCCCTACTTGGAGTTGTAAAAATTTCGTGAACGATAACCATGCAGAACTTCCAATTCCTCTTGTCCTCAGAAGCTTGGAACTCCAATCTACAATGTGCCGGTTATGACACTGTGAAGAGATCTAGCCAAGGGGTACAGTGCGCACGGCTCTAACAATCTTTAACCGCTCCCGCAATCGCAATCTGGTTGGCTTTAACACGTTGACGACATCGCGCGTTTTGGGTTTTTGCACCGCGTGGGACCAGAGCGATTTTGCGAGCGCCGCCGCCGCACACCAAATCCATGGATTTTGAGCTGTAAATACGCAATACTTAGATGCGATGAAGTGTTTTCAATAATGTTCGATCTAACTTATCGGGAGTTACAGTAATGGAAGTTTGACCGAAATGACGTGTTAAGGCCATGAAAAGGCAAATTTTACTTACTTTCCCTTTAGTGGTTCCAAAATTAATTTGGACGTGGTTGTTTCAGTAAAAACACATATCTTCCCATACGAATAGGTTTGTATTCACTTCTATTATTCCTTTTTATCAACATGTTTACGTTAATGAAAAGAAAACGAGGAATGAACTGAACAGACATATCCGTAAGGTCTGGAAAACCTCTGCCAAACTAAAGAATATTTGGCCTTTCTGTGAGCCATGTGGTTTTTAAGTATGCTAATGTATGACCTATAGAATGAGTACAAAGACCTTAGGAATAAGTCGCAAGAAAAAGGGATGACTTGGGTGGGACGCGTTACCGCGTCACAATGTCCCACGAGGTGCGCAAAGTGGGACGCGTTACCGCGTCACGCTGTCGTCAACGTGTTGAAGTATAAGCCGAATAATATCCCACCAGTAACGGGAGCGCATTGCGCCGTTCTACTAGTGCTTGCAAGCAAAAGGAAGAAGAGTTGCGCAGAAACATAATTCGAGTATAAGTACCTCAGTGGTAAAACATAAAAATGCAAAAATTCAAAACTAGAAAAAAAGTTAATCATTAACAAAAAGTTAGTAACAATGATTGAAGGGAGAGAGAAAGAGTCGAAAACAAGAGACTCACAGGGAACATTTAAGGATAAGCAGTCCGTGAAGTGGAAAGAGCAAACTGAAACAATGACTCCAATAAATGCTATGCTGGTCAAAAACACTTTCCCGAACAAAATTGAAGCCTTGATCGGTAGTTGAATTGAAATGATGGCAGCCGAACGATTACTTTGCCTAATGAAAACATCCTGTGCCAATTTCTACATAGAAGCAAAAAAATGAGTATTAAAAACATGCCTTCCACGAATATAAAATGATTCACAACGAAGCGGCGATGAAAATTGTTATCTCCGAACGGTGGGTAAGAGCAACCTTAGAGAAGTGTTCGAATAGGTGCAAAAAATAGAAGACAAGAACGCAAGAACAATTTGCGATATTTCTTAAAAGGTTCCAAAAGGACTGATAAGCAAAACAGCGCTTTGAAATCAACCATAAACAAATGACACTCACATAATTTATTGAGTCAAAATCACACCACAAATGCAGTACATTCATCACGACAATAGAAATTGAATAATGCTGTTCACAGGTAGTTCAAACATCAATGAATATATCGAGAATTGCTTCCATACTTCTCGAATAGGGAGAGAGGAACTGAATCGGTGTGGCTGGATCCAAATGTGACCTATCCTATTCATAGCCTCTTCAATGGTCGCCTCTCCAACGAGCAGTGTCTTCAATGCGGCGGCACTTGAGAACTCACTGGAAAAAACAGAAGAACCTATGCGATAATTGTGGTGGCAATTCGATACATATTAGGGACAATGAAAATTTGTCACTAGGAAGAAGTCTTCACGTAATTTTGTAAGTTCGCTATATCGTTTTTAGTACTTTTCAATCAAAATGAATGTCATGAAAATAATTGAAAGCCACGAAGCATGAAACTTATCAAACTAACTCTTGATTGGTGAAGATTATACACCCGTCGGTATGCCATCGGCCAATTTTCCAACTGCAGCCACTGCAAGAAAGATAATAAGTTTCATCAACGTGAAATACTCTGCCCCAATCCCTTTCATTCGCACAGCAACAAAAAATCACATGAAATTACGCTGGGTTAGAAAAGAAACAAGTTGTAGAGTCACATGCCCATTCTAGCACAAGGTTGTACAGAGTGTGCACCTTTGAGAATAATTGTCAGAAAGTATGCAATAGATTTATTTATTTAATTGGCAAAAGAATTTGAATTCCATACAAGAAATCCTCCCTATAGAACATCGAAT